GAACTGTGGAAAAGAGTTCATCAGTTCCTTGAAAGTTAAACATAGAATTACCATATGACCCAGAAATTTCACTCCTAGGTATATACCCAAGACAAATGAAGAGATATGTCCACAAGGAAATTTGTACAGAATGTTTATATCATTATTCATAATAGCCAGAAGGTATAAACAACCCAAATGCTCATTAATAGACAAATGGATAATCAAATTGTGGCATATACATATAGTGAAATATTATTCAGCCATAAAAAGGAGTGAAGTACTGATACATGCTACAAATAGGCAGAGCCTCGAAAACATTACACTAAATGAAAAGCCAGACACAAAAGGGTCACATATTGTATGATTTATTTTATGTAATGTACCCATAATAGGCAAATCCATAGAGACAGAAAGCAGATTAGAGATTACCAGGGAACGGGGGAGTGGGGACCAACTACTTAATGAGTACCAGATTTTTTTTGATGAAAAGTTTTGAAACTAGAGTGAACTAGTGGTTGCACAACATTGTGACTGCACTAAGTACCACTGAATTATACAGTTTAAGATGGTTAATTGTATGTTATGTGAATACAAGTAAAAGAATAATAACATTTTTAACTGAGTCAAGAAGAAATATAAAATATTAATAATTATATATGTAATAATAAAAGCATTTCCACAAAGAAACTGCAAGTCAGGTAACTTCACCAGTGAATTTCTCCAAACATCTAAGGAAAAAATACCACTCTTATATGACTTTTCCAGAGAATAGAAGAGATACTTCGATGAGGCCAGATAATTTTGATTCCAAAGCCTGACAAGGACATTACAAGAATGGAAATTATAGACTAATCTTTCTCATGAACAAAATATTAGTAAATAAAATTCAAGGATGTACAAAAAGGTGGTACACCACAACCAAGTGGAGTTTTGTTCCAGAAATGAAGATTGTTTTAACATTTGAAAATCAATCAATACAGTATACCACATTAAGAGTAAAAAGGAAAAAAACGTGATGGGAAAAAAAGCACTTGACAAAAATTAATACCTATTCATGATTTTTTTAAGACTAAAACTAGGATACAAGGGAACTTTATTTGAATCAAGGGTTATCTACAAAAAATCTAGAGAAAACATTGTATTTAGTAGTAACATATTAATAAGGACATTCACTGCCATCACTTTCATTTAATATTTGTACTGGAGGTCCTGGCCAGTGCAGGGAAAAAAAAGAAGTGAAATAAAGAATAAAGAGTGAGGGCTTCCCTGGTGGCACAGTGGTTGAGAGTCCGCCTGCCGATGCAGGGGACCACGGGGTCGTGCCCCGGTCCAGGAAGATCCCACATGCCGCGGAGCAGCTGGGCCCGTGAGCCATGGCCGCTGAGCCTGTGCGTCCTGAGCCTGTGCTCCGCAACGGAAGAGGCCACAGCAGTGAGAGGCCCACGTACCGCAAAAAAATAAAAATTAAAAAAAAAAGAATAAAGAGTGAAATATGTGAAAATTAAATAGGCAGAGTTTAAACTGTTATTATTTGCAGACAAAATAATTGTGTATTTTAAAAATCCAAAAGATTCTGCAGATAAGATGTTTAGAATTAATAAGTGAACTTAGCAAGTCACTAGATACAGGATCAATATTCAAAAATTGAATTTTTTTCTATGTAGTAGCAACAAAGGGTCAGAACATTAAAAAATTTTAAATACCATTTATAGTAAATCAAAAATTACCAAGTACCTAGGAATAAATTTAATGAAGGATATATAAGTGTTCTACGTAGAAATGTGTACAGAGAAAGAAGATCTAATAAATAGAGTATGCTATATTCACAGGTTGGAAACTCAATTTTGCAAAGATGTCAGTTCTTCCCCCAATTGATCTATAAATTAAACACAGTGTCAGTCAAAATCCCAACAGATTTTTTTTGTGGAAATTGATAAGCTCATGAAATCTATATGGAAATGCAAAGGACCATGAATAGCCAAAGTAGTTAAGAACAAAGCTTGAGGACCCAAGACTTTTTCCAAAACTCCAGTACTTAAAATAGAGTGCTATTCACCTAGCACCCAGATCTTGGTTTCTAAATATTATTCTCCAATAAAAGGAACCAAGGCTCTTTGAAAGAAGTGGTTAATTCCACAACTGGAGCATGGAAAATACAAGATGTATTGTAACATCTTTTGGTGCCAGTGAGCTAGGAAATGCATGGGAAAGGATGAGGGCATGTTGAAAGGACATAAGAATCAACCTGAAGGAGGGCCTAAAAGCCTAAATCAATTTGAGCAACAAAATAAATAATGATCATATTAAATTATAACCCATAGACTAACAGAAATGAGTCCATGCTGATATAAATAAATTAAGGAGAAGGGGCATCCCTTCCTTACAGAAGAATCCCAGTTAATGTACAAGGAATTAGGGAACTACAAAACCACCACCAGGCAAACACTGCAGAATTGTTGCAAGCAAGATGGATGCTAAAATCAGTGGGCAAAAGCTTGAGAAAAATATAGGATATTTTCATAGTTTCAATATGTCTCCCCCAAGATATTGATCAGTTGCGAAGGGGAAAATAGTAACTTTACAGTGGAGAGACCCAGTAGACATTGCCATAACCAAGTGATCATGGTCGATATGTCAAAATCCTGAAAAACAAGGAAAAACTAAGGAATTGTCACAGATTTGAAGAAACTAAGGAGACACAACTAGATGCAGGCTGGGGTCCTGGATTGGATCACAAGATAGGAAAAGAACATTAGTGAAAAAACTGGTGAAATTCAAATAAAGTCTGTTTGGTGAATACTATACAAGTATTAATATCAAAACATTAGTGTTAATTTCCTGCTTTTGATCATTGTTCTATGGTTATGTAAGATGTGAATGTTGGAAAACTGGGGAGAGAAGTATATATGAACTCTAATATTTTTTGCAACTTTCCTATAAGATCATTTCAAAATAAAAGGTTTTTTTTTTTAACTGGCATGGTATTGACACAAGATGCATTGGTTTCCCAGGGTTGCTGTAACAAAGTACCACAAGCTGGATGGCTTAAAACAACAGAAATTTATCAATCTCTCACAGTTCTGGAAGCTAGAAGTTCGAAATTAAGTTGTTGGCAGGGCCATGCTGCCTCTGAAGGCTATCTAGGGGAGGATCCTTCCTTGCCTCTTCTTAGTTCCTGGTGGTTGTCAGCAATCCTTGGTATTTTTTAGCTTGTAGCTGCATCACTTCAGTCTCTGCCTCTGTCTTCACCTGGCCTTCTTCCCTGTGGCTCTGTATATCCTCTTCTCTTCTTCTAAGGACAACAGTCATATTGGATTTATAGTCTACCCTAATCCTAATGTGACCTCATTTTAACTAATAAATAGTCTGCAAAGACGCTATTTCCAAACAAGGTTACATTCTGAGGTAGCAGTTTGACATTAATTTTGAGGGGACATGATTCAACCCAGTATACAAGGATGGGCAGATAAACCAGTGGGATAAAACAGAAACTCTAGAAACAGAACCACATATTGGTCTCACTTACAGCAGATGTGCCATTGCAACACAGTGGGGAAAGAAGTGTCTCTTCAATAAAGGAGTCAAATGAAAATCTGCATGTGGATAAAAAGAACTTTGACCTCTACCTCACATCATACATAAAGACTAATTTCGGATGGATCATAGACCTCAATGTGATAGGTAAAATAACAAATTATTTTCATGATACACACAAGAGATTATCTTCATTATCTGAGGGTTGGCAAAGATTTCTTTAACTGGACACAAATTAAATTAAAAAGCTTTAAATTAAAAGCTTTTGTTCATCAAAAGATAACATTAAGAGAATGAAAAGGCAAGCCATAGAGTATTGCAGTACCCAACAGAGGACTTGCATCTAAAATATTTAAACAGCTCCTACAAATCAATAAGAAAAATATAGTCAACTCATTTTCTTAAATGGACAAAAGACTTGAACAGGCATTTCGTAAAAGAAAATATCCAAACAGGCAATAAGCATATGAAAGGGTCCTAAACATCATCTGGGAAATGCAAAATTAAAACCAAAATGAGATACCACTGAACACCCACCAGACTGGCTAAAAATTTTTAGACTGACCCTACCAAGCTGTGGCAAAGATGTGAACAACTAGAACTTTCATGCACTACCCATAGGAGTAAAACTGGTACAAGCACTTTGGACCATCAATTCTACTCCTAGATACACACTCAACAGAAATGAGTCTATATGTCCGCTAAAAGACATGTAGAAGAATTTGTATAGCAGCTTGATTCATAATTGCCCCAAACTGGAAGTAACCTAAATATATGTCAACAGTGGAATGGATAGTTTTATATTCATTCGTAAAATGGAACACTATATGTCAGTCAAAAATATAATTACTGCAACAACGTGGATGAATTTCACAAATAATTGTTGACTGAAAGAAGCCAACACAGGAGAGTATACAGCAAATGATCCATTTATGTGAAGTTCAAAAACAAGCATAGTTAATCTACAATGATAAAAATTAGGATAGTTTTAGGGGTGAATATTGATTGGGAAGAGTCATTTCAGGGATGCTGGAAATGTTCTATGTATTGATCTGGGTGATAGTTACAGTGGTGTGTATAATTTTTTTTTAATACTTATCTGTATTCTTGAGGCTTCTGCACATTATTAGATGTATATTATATTGATACTTCAATTTTTTAATTAAGAAAAGTGATATATTAAATATTATTGAAATAAGTGGACTATTGTCAATATAAAAAATTGAGCCTTCTTTAAAATATTTGAGATTTTGTTTTAATGAGATTTCACTTGACCATATATATTTGGATAACATTCTGTGGTTCACTGGTCACTTTCTCATAACATGGTAACAGATATGTCATTTGAGTGTATTCTAGAATAAAGATTCTGGATTTTAAACCATAAATGATATAAATTAATACCAAAAATAAGCAGTTTTAAAATTTTTGTCAAATTCTTATATGGAAATCTCAGTATTGCATTTCTCATTTCTGTCTTTTAGGCTAAGACATCAAGCACACAAAGAATTTTATGCCTACAAACAGGTGAGAGAGATTTACTTAAGATTAGCTTTGATCATGTTCTTCACCAAAAAAAATGAGACCTCAGGTTTCCACTCATATTTTAAACTGGGACTAGATTTACTTGTGTTCATTTTAGCATTTTGCTTGCCAATTTGCCATACAAAATACTTCAAGTGTTCCTTTTTTTTTTTTTGGCTGTGTTGAGTCTTCGTTACTGTACACGGGCTTTCTCTAGTTGCGGCGAGTGGGGGCTACTCTTCGTTGCAGTGCCTGGGCTTATTGCGGTGGCTTCTCAAATATTACTTGAAGTTATAGAAAGTTTAAATGATAAAATAATATAACAGGGAACTTTGGCCAATATTTTGGTAAAGAGAAATGCTGTAGCTTAAAATCCTTAAACTTACTATTATCCTAATGGAGTTCAGAGATTCCACTAAATGAAATTTTTACCTTCTTCATTAGAAGACATACTAGTTCCTCAGAGGTAACCAGCTGTATTATACTGATCTCATCTCCTCCCCTTTGTACTTTAAATGTTAGTTCACGTCACACCACTGGAAGTCCAGATACTTCAGTCATTGCTATTAACTCCTAGCCCTTTGTACTATCCCTTTGCTGATATGTTCTTTAAGGTAATAAATTTAGCTTTTCTTGAAGGCCAGTAAAATTTGTTTTTTCTTCCATGTGTCATCCATTAATATTTTATCACTGATACCAAACAGTGGGCCTAGGTGTTCCTTAATTTTCTTTTGACCCTGATCATGAAATTATTTTTGTCCTCCATAGCAATTTAAGAGTGGGGGAGAGGTGCGGGGGGGGGAGCCAAGCTTCAGTTTATTTGGGTCTTTAATCTTGCTGACACTGCTGTTACAGACCATGTCGTCATTTTAGGATTACATATCTTTTTGTCCATGTCTCTTTGAAATCTGAGCTCATTGGTGAGTTCCTTAGATGTCCACACTGATGTCCACATGTAACCACACATGGGTCTCGTGTGGGATTTCATATACAGAGATGAATGTCTTAGTTTTCTAAAGGAATGAATCTTTTTGACTCAATTTTTGTCTCAAATGGTTTTTTGAGGAACCTCCACACTGTTTTCCATAGTGGCTGCACCAACTTACATTCCCACCAACAGCGTAGGAGGGTTCCCTTTTCTCCACACCCTCGCCAGCATTTGTTATCTGTAGACTTTTTAATGATGACCATTCTGACTGGTGGTAGGGGATACCTCATTGTAGTTTTGATTTTCATTTCTCTGATAATTAGTGATGTTGAGCATCTTTTCATGTGCCTGTTGTCCATCTGTATGTCTTCTTTGGAGAACTGTCTATTTAAGTCTGCTGCCCATTTTTCAATTGGGTTGTTTGTTTTTTGTTAATGAGTTGTATGAGCTGTTTGTATATTTTGGAAATTAAGCCCTTGTCAGTGGCATCATTTGCAAATATTTTCTCCCAGTCCTTAAGTTGTCTTTTCATTTTGTTTATGGTTTCCTTTGCTGTGCAGAAGGTTTTAAGCTTGATTAGGTCCTATTTGTTTAGAGATGTTCTTTTTAAATAGTCATCTGCCCTCTTGTCATTTTGCATTATTTTTAACTGATATCCAGTCACCACAAAGTCAGGTTAGGGACAGCACCTGGATGGGTTTTAAACCTATTTACATAATTCTGGGTAGAGCCAAAGTTTTCTGACGATACTGATGTATAATAATAAGCAAAGCTTCCAAAATTAAGATTGACCTTACTTTTCAGTCTTTTATAAATTACCAGTCTGTCCCATGAGCCAATACTGTGTTTTACCAAATCATGAGGCAAGCAATCTCATTTACTTTCCCCCCATATTAGCACTTACTCCAGATAGGCATGTGTTAATTTCTTCTCCCAAACTTTAATCTATTCTCAAAGAGATTTTAAAATTGCTTTTCAGGAGAATACTGCACCATTGCTCAAGTTAAGAGAATGTTGCTAAAATGTTCTATCTCAAACTGTAAGAGATTCTCTCTAATACTGAATATGAGGTGAAATGAGCTATACACAGAAAAGAAAAATATTTGTAGAATAATGAGAAATCTTTTAAATTACAGATTTAAATGGGCATAAAAGCATACTTTTTTTTGTCTTACAGGTTATATTAAAAGAAAAAGTAAAAGAACTGAATTTACATGAGGTAAGTTGCCTATAAGTATTTTAATCTGCTCTTGAGTATATTCTAACAGAAGTGGTATGCTGTGGTATGCTTAAACATCTATATTTTCAGACACTGAAAAAAATTGGGCTTATTTGATCAGCTTAATAGAATATTTGAGGGTGAGATCACATAAAAATCAATTTTGTGAAGACTTATGAGAGTGTAAAATAACTCATTTTTAATAGGGATGGTGCCAGTGTAAGATTTCATAGCAGCAGGGATGCTGCTTGCTGTCCATGCTATACGAGTAGGAGATAGATATAAACAAGTTTTTCTACTCAAGATGAATTTGCACTAATTTCACTCTTGAAAATGTTCCCAGAACTCCTTTCTTATCAATGGCACAAACAAGGCAGTGATTACTTCATGAAGGTGGGGGTTTGGGGAGGTGAGACAGAGGGATGGAATAGGGAAGAACATATAGGGAGAGATATGAACTCTTGGACTTGTCTAGTAATGAGGTTGCGTGGTTGGGGTGTTCACTATATTGTTATACTTTCTAAGCTATATACAGATGTGTGTGTGTATCCTGCTATGCACCTTAAGACACATAGTCTATAGTAATTCTTGTTTATTTTATTCCTTGTCTTGCCACTGATTTCAAATGCTCAGAGTTTTTATTTTTAATTTTAGGGCCCTTTCTCTTCCACCCTTTCTGAGTTTTTTAATTGGTGTTTAAAGCAAGGACTTGAAAAGCTACACACTGTAATATCTATGTTTTATATAGTGTAACTGGTGAAGCTACATTACCAGTCTCTTCAAAGAGAGTTAATTTGTGAAATTATTTGAATAATAGTAAAAAAAAATAATGATTTATATTATTGTTGAATACTTTGAAATCATCTACTGATCCTTTGCTCTTTTTTTAAAGTATTTATTTATTTATTTGGTTGCACTGGGTCTTAGTTGCGGCAGGCGGGCTCCTTAGTTGCGGCATGCATGTGAGATCTAGTTCCCTGACCAGGGATCAAACCCAGGCCCGCTGCATTGGGAGCTCAGAGTCTTAACCACTGTGCCACCAGGGAAGTCCCTCCTTTGCTCTTTCTGCATATTTTTTATCAAAGAGTTGATATGGTACAGCATTTCAGAACTAACCTTGGATTAAACTCAAGCATCAAATACTGTTTGATTTTAAAATTTTTCCCAAAACAGTAATAGAAAGTGATCCTCTTCTGTTGGGAGTCTTTTTGATGACCATAAATGAAAAGATCAAATTCTGACATACATTAACAATACTGAATAACCATGTTTGTCAGGAATAGAAGTCTTCCTTGTTGGTTTGACCCATTAGTTTAGAATCTTCATCCTGAATAAGTGAATTGTGTTGCATCATTACGTATCAGAGTTATTATCCCAACCGCACCCACTGATTCCAGTTTCACTGTGCCTAAGAAAACCTAACCTTGCTCTACAACTTGTTTCCAGAGGCCAGTCATGTACTTTTCGCAGTTTGGTCCTTTTTGGATGCACTTCTTTGTGTTGAAACTATTTTGTCAAACTTCTTTGTGTGTGTGCATTCCTATAGCCTAATTATACAATGATGCATAGCTTGTTCCTGTGTAAGCACACATAATTTCAATATGAATAACGTTATTAGTGAATAATTATAATAGTGGAAAATCAGAGACAAGCTAAATGTCCATCAGTAGTGTAACAAATAAATAAAACATGATACACTGGAAGATTATCCATCAAGAGAGGGAGGGAGGGAGGAAAAGAAGGAAACCGGATACAGGGATTCATACAGTGAGGTACTATACTGCAGGCAAAATTAAGGAACAAGCTCCATCTATAAACACGTCAACCTAGATAGATCTCTAACGGAATCTTGAAACAGCAAGTTGCAAAATGATATAAATGTTTATATCATGTATGTAAACTAAGATAAACACATTTTTCATGGATTTATATGCATACTGCATGGTGTCTGAAAAGGATGCATAATGATCACACAGAGGAGGAGAGAACAGGGAAAAGATTAGGGGAAGTTGGTCAAAAGGGATATTAATTTTATATATAATGTTCTTAATTTTAAAGAAGGAAAGTAAGTTAATATATTATTTTAAAAATACAGTTGAGGAATTCCCCGGAGGTCCAGTGGTTAGGACTCCGTGCTGTCACTGCCAAGGGCCCGGGTTCAATCCCTGATCAGGGGACTAAGATCCCACAAGCCACGTGGCAAAAAAATCTAAAAAGTACAGTTGAGGGCTTCCCTGGTGGCGCGGTGGTTGAGAGTCCACCTGCTGATGCAGGGGACACAGTTCGTGCCCCGGTCTGGGAAGATCCAACATGCCGCGGAGCGGCTGGGCCCGTGAGCCATGGCCGCTGAGCCTGCGCATCTGGAGGCTGTGCTCTGCAACGGGAGGGGCCACAACAGTGAGAGGCCCACGTACAGAAAAACAAAAAAAGTACAGTTGACCCTTGAATGACATGGGTTTGAACTGCACGGGTCCACTTATACGCAGATTTTTTTCAGTAGTGAATACTACAGTATTACACGGTCTGTGGTTGTTTGAATCTGTGGATGATCCCACATGCTGTGCAGTGTGGCCAAAAGTTATAAAAAAAGTAATAATAAATAAATAAATTGCATCTAATGGAGTCTTGGTATCAAGAGAAACAGAAAGGTGCCATGGAAGCTGTGACACACTGGGGCATGCAAGGTCCTGTGTTAAAGAAGTTGTCAGCACTCAGCTCTAGCTAATTGTTACCATAGGGGAATATAGGCTATTGCCAACTATTGCCAGATCTGGGGTTTTTTTAAGAGAAGCCTGAGAGCATTGACATTAGTCTGTGATCTGCTTGTCATTTGCATTTAGTCTTTGATTTGTTCATCACAGTGTCCCCAGCTCTGGTTATGGTGAATGGTTGCTTTCTCCACTTAATTTCTTTTGCACCTTTATCAAAACTCAAATGCCCATATTTTTGTGAGTCTATTTCTGGATTCTCTCTTCTGTTCCATTGATTTCTGTGCCTATGTCCCTTCACCAATACCACAGTCCTGATTACTGTATTTTTATAGCAAGTCTTAAAATCAGGTAATATGATTCCTCCAACTTTATTCTTCTTTTCCAAAACTGTTTTAGCTAGTCTGGTTCCTTTGCTCTTCCATGTAAATTGTAACAGCAGCTTGTCTATCTGTACACACAACAACAACAACAAAAATCCTGCTGGGACCTTGATTAGTACTGCATTGAATATATAAATCAGGGGGAAATTTGGTATCTTTACCATGTTGAGTTTTCTAATCTGTAAACACATTATGTCTTTATATTTGAAGTGTTTTTATAGACAGCATATAGTTAGGTCATGTTTTTTAATCCACCCTGCCAACCTGTCTTTTAATTGATGTGTTTAGACCATTTATGTTCAATGCAATTATTGATGTGTTTGAAATTAGGTCTGCTCTTTTACTATTTATCTTCCGCTGTTACCCCTCTTTCTTATTCCTTTGTTTCTTTCTACCTTCTTTGGGGTTATTTGAACATTTTTAGTATTATATCTATTGTGATTTTATCTTTTTGTATAATTTTCCAGTGGTTACTTAGGGATTACAAAATAAATACCTAGAATCAATTTTTTAGCACTTCATTTGTAATGTAGAAACCTTATCACCATATAGATCCCTTTACTTTATACAGTAAGTGTCATATTACACCTATATACATTGAAAATGGCATCAGACAGTGTTACATTTTTTACTTTTAACCATCAGATATATTTTTAAAGAATTCAGGAGGGGACGAATAGTTTGTTATATTTATCCAAATATTTACCGTTTCTGTTGCTCTTAATTCCCAATGTTCCAAGTTTCCTTCTTATGTCACTTTCCTTCTATGTGATGAACCTCCTTTAGCAATTCTTTTAGAGCAGATCTGCTGGCTATGAATTCTATTAGTTTGCCTTCATCTGAGAATGTCTTTATTTCACCTTTTTTTTTTTTTTTTTGCTATACACGGGCCCCTCACTGTTGTGGCCTCTCCCGTTGCGGAGCACAGGCTCCGGACGCGCAGGCTCAGCGGCCATGGCTCACTGGCCCAGCCGCTCCGCGGCATGTGGGATCCTCCCGGACCGGGGCACGAACCCATATCCCCTGCGTCGGCAGGCGGACTCTCAACCACTGCACCACCAGGGAAGCCCCTATTTCACCTTTATTCCTAGGTTATTTCTTTTCCTTCTGCACTTTTAAAATGTTGTGCCAAATGTTGTGTTCTGGCCTCCATGGTTTCTGATGAGAAATTCATAGTCATTCGAATCATAATGTGTCATAATGTGTCATAATGTGTCATTTTTCTCTGGCTGCTTTCAAGATTTTTTTCTATGTCTTTAGTTTTCAGCAATTTGATTATGATACGTCTCAGCATGGATTTCTTTGGATTTTTCCTGTTTGGGGTTTACTCAGCTTCATAAATATGTAGGTTTGTCTTTCACCAAGCTTGGGAAGTTTTCAGCCATTATTTCTTCAAATATTTTTTCTGTACTGTATTCTTTCTATCCTGCCACTCTCCTAGAGAAGGCCTCATCCACCTGCTGTGGCCATGTGGGCCAATCAGAACCCTGAGCCCACATCTACAGTACAGTACAGTGATACAGCCATCCATATAGCTTCTAAATTTGAACATGTTTGGGTCCATTCCCACTTCTGTCAGGGTGATATTGCCTATACATACAGAAAGGAAAGGAGAACCTTCTCCCTCCTGCATCTCAGCAGCAGGTGGGATCCTAGCTGCACAAGGACCAGGAAAAGTCATCTTTAGGTCAGTTTTCCTGGATCAGGCAGAGAGTGGGTGAGGAGTCGTGGCAGACATGCTATGGCCCTGCTCTACCCTACTTTCCACAAGAGACTGTAGGAAGGTAACCCCATTGGAGTTGCCCCCCTGTATAAAATAAAGTTAGGAACATCTTTTCCTTCTCCTCACCTCCCCACAAGCTCATTCCCTTCCCTTTGGTCCAGTGAGGAGGGGGTCTGGTGGTACAAG